GAATTTGAAAGTATTACAGTCATTTGACCTTTATAATTTTTTATTTTTTTGATAAGCCATTTTACCTTTATAATTAACATTGTATTTTGATTTAAAATCATATAAAATAAATCATTTATTTTTTTGATAAGTCATTTTACCTTTATAATTAACATTGTATTTTGATTTAAAATCATATAAAAAATTTCTAACTATATTTAAATAATAAGGATGAAATATTGTGACCTCAAATCATATTGTGACCTTTATTTAGTTTGTTTTGTTTTCATTAAGAAACAATGACAATGGTGTGCAAGTGTTGGTATTTGGTTTTATTATGTTTTTTACTTCTTTTTTTGAAAAAAAATGTTTGAATGCTGCATTGAATTGCTATATTTCTTTTTGGGGGGGCTTATTCTATATATATTTTGATAGTATTATTTAGTCATATAAAAATTATTGCATTTTTTTATCATTTTAGTAAGATCTTACGATCCTCGATCCGATCCTACGATCCGATCCGACAGACCCCCAAAACGATCCTGCGTAGGATCCCGATCTTAACAACCTTGGTCAACAGCTGTTCATTATAAGGTAGATGGAACATCGACATGTCTCCATTTCCCTCGGCCTTAGGGCCATTAGTCATAAACAATCCATATCAGACATAACGGCCTCGGGTCCATCATACATATAGAAACAGAACGATCTCGGGTTCATTTCATATGCCATTGTAATACAATGCTCCATCATTTCAATCAAAACACAAGTTATATAAAGTATGTGAATGCACATGAAAACATGTGAAAATCATGCAAACAGACGCCCAAAAGTTAGAAAAACAGAGCGAAAATGAAAACCAGAACTGCCCTGAAAACTGCACGTGCGGCTATCACTTCCACACATGCAGAACCTCATCGCACGTGTAATTAAAGCAGAAGCAAAAGTGAAGCAGGGGAAAATGTCCCACACGTGTGGAATAGGTTTAAAACCAGTCCGAAAATCTGCTTTGAACTTGGAACTCACCCTTTTGCAAAATTAACTTCATTTTCATGCAACTCAAAGCCCAAATCTCTTCAAAACAGGTTGAATTTAACATACCAAACCTTAAACAAAAATCACAACTTTAAATCAAAACTCAATTTCACATTTGAAAGATCAATTTAAGAGTTAGGGCACAAAAATCATAAAACATACACTTTGAGAGTTCCAAGCTCACTTTCATGGAAAATCCCTTTTGAAATCTTAAAGAATCATAGGAATCATGCAAGGAATCAAGTTATGAACATGAATTTCATGATATAATGCCATAAATTCAAAGAGTCAACATCTTCTTGCTTTATATAGCAAAACACATGCATGTGATCATATATAATCCATAAACACCTTCTTTTGCACTTAATCTTCAAGGTTTATGAGGTAAAACCTTACCTAAAGTCTTCATAGCTACTTAATCCTGCATAATCTTGATGTATTCTAGCTTGATCTTGAGCCTCTTCTTCCATATTTTCCTTTCTCTCTCTATTTCTCTCTCTCTAGAATGAGAGTTCACTCTCCCTCTCTTGGATAACTCTCCAGAATTTTCCCCTCACAAAATGGGAGGATATGAGTTCAAAAGGTGACTTATATCACATACATATATATGTGTGTGTGTGTATATAGCTAGGACACTTGCCAAACACGCCTTAACGAATCAGACCGAATCAATTTTCAATTAAATTTTTCAAATGGCTCTAAATATTTCCATTAGCATATCTATGTACTCAATTTCGGTTTTTGAACCCATTAAAAAAAATGAATTTTATTCACCAAAAAAAAAAGTCATCAATTTCAGTTTCAAAGTCGTAAACTCAACAAATAATTCCTCAATTCAAATTGATATAATTAAAATAAAGCACATTAACCCATAATTAAATAAAGATAAATTTCTAATACGTATTTTAGGGCCGTTACATTTTGTGACGGTCTCAAACGTTGCAAAAAGTCCACATTACATCACAAAAGACTTTTTACGATAGAGTAGCGATGGAAAATAGGGGGTGGCACAAGGGGGTGTGACAAAAAGTATTTGTGACGGTTACAAACCGTCGCTTTCTTGTAGTGACGACAAATCAATGTTTTTTGCGATAGTTTAACCTGACACAAAAAAGCGAGAAAAACATCACTTTTAGCGACGGTTTAGGATGCCATCACCAAAAATTTTTTTGGAGACGGTAGTTGACGTCGCTAACAGTATTATTAGCGGCAGTCTAAAACGTGGCAAAAAAATAGAATTAAATCAATAATGTATTCACAACAGTTTAAACCGTCGCTAAAGAATTGAACTAATATGTATATGCGACAAGTTAACCAGTCACTAATAAAATGTAAGGAAATGATGATTACCAGTCACTAATAAAATGTAAGGAAATGATGATTATATTAGCAACGTTTATTACTGTCGAAAAAAAAAATCATAAAATAATATATATTATTAATTTAATCTCTGTACAAATTATTAATATTTTCTAAAATAAAATACATCCACATCCACCTCCACATCCATACACATCCACATTCACATTCACAAAATCATATATATGAACAATAATATATATGTACCCTGCAACAATACAGTGTCAACCACACATTCTATACAAAAATATAGAAAACATCCTCTAACAATACTAATAATTTTTATAATTCAAGAACTCAAATTTGTATCTAAAACAAAACAAAAGTATCGACAGTACAAATAAAAAAACTTATATATTATAATTTGTTTTAGTATCAATAGTAAACTCTAATATCGATATGCGGAGATATCATCAAGTCCACAAAAGGGTAGCATCTACAAAAAGAAAAAAAATATATTTACAATATAATAAATTTCAAACTTACAAAAAATGAAAAAAAAAATGATATTTATTTCAATAAACAAATAAGATTGTAACATATACATGAATTAAGTGCTACACAATGTATCTTCCAACAATTTCTCCAATTGTTCTTAGACCTTGGGATGGTGTTTCCAAACGAGCATTCAGTTTTTTCACTTTTGTCAAGTTTTGTAACATATACATGAATCGAGCAACACATAATGTATCTTCCATAATGTGTGTCAAGTTTTGTTAACATCCGACACCGTTTGACCATTTTAGTGTGTCAACAGGTTCGGAAAAGAGTTTCTAAAGGACAAGTTTTCACAAACGGGAATTAGGCTCGAGATTCAAAATTGGAAATCGGTTTCGAGTCTTGTCTTTTCCTACAAGTCATTTGTGCCTAGTTAGTCGTGTGTGTCTAGTTTCGTTGACATCCGACGCCGTTTGAGTATTTAGTGAGTCAACCGGTTCATAAAAAAAGTTTCTAATGGACAAGTTTTCACAAATGAAAATTAGGGTCTAGATTCAAAATAAGGAATTGGTTTCGAGTCTCATCTTTTCCTAGAAGTAATTTGTGCTTAGTTAGTCAAGTATGTCAAGTTTTGTTTACATGCGACGCCATTTGAGCATTTTAGTGAGTCAACCGGTTCGAAAAAAGAGTTTCTAAAGGACAAGTTTTTACAAAAAGAAATTAGGCTCTAAATTCAAAACTGGGAATCGATTTCGAGTCCAGTTTTTTCCTACAAGTAATTTGTGCTTAGTTAGTCAAGTTTCATTGACATCTGACGCCGTTTGAGCATTTTAGTGAGTCAACTAGTTCGGAAAAAGAGTTTCTAAAGGACAAGTTTTCACAAACGAAAATTAGGCTCTAGATTCAAAGTCGGGAATCGATTTTGAGTCCCGTCTTTTCTTACAAGTCATTTGTACATAGTTAGTCGTATGTATCAAGTTTTGTTTACATGCGACACTGTTTGAGCATTTTAGTGACTCAACCGGTTCGGAAAAAGAGTTTTTAAAGGACAAATTTTCACAAACAGAAATTAAGCTCTAAATTCAAAACCGAAAATCAGTTTCGAGTCCACTATTTTCCTACAAGTAATTTGTGCCTAGTTAGTCAAGTGTCTCAAGTTTCGTTTACATCCGACACCATTTGACCATTTTAGTGTGTCAACCAGTTTGAAAAAGAGTTTCTAAAGGATAACTTTTCACAAACAGCAATTAGGCTCCATATTCAAAATCGAGAATTGATTTCGAGTTCCGTCTTTTCCTACAGGTCATTTGTGCCTAGTTAGTCATGTGTCAAGTTTTATTGACATCCGACGCCGTTTGAGCATTTTAGTGAGTCAACCGGTTCGGAAAAAGAGTTTCTAAAAGACAAATATTCACAAACGAAAATTAGGCTCTAGATTCAAAACTGGGAATCGTTTTCGAGTTTTGTCTTTCTTACAAGTCATTTGTGCCTAGTTAGTCATGAGTGTCAAGTGTCGTTGACATCTGTTTCCGTTTGACTATTTTAGTGTATCAACCAGTTCGGAAAAAGAGTTTCTAAAGGATAAGTTTTCACAAACGGGAATTAGGCTCTAGATTCAAAATCGAGAATCGGTTTCAAGTCCTATCTTTTCCTACAAGTCATTTGTGCCTCGTTAGCCGTGTGTGTCAAGTTTCGTTGACATCCGACGCCGCTTGAGCATTTTAGTGTGTCAACTAGTTCTCACTATTTCGTTGTAATTGGTAATGTCAGACAAACTTATAAGATCAATATCACAATGTGTGAATATCAATTATTAAGATTGGTTAAACAAACTAGTGCCATATTATACCATAAAATCAATATATTTAAATATGAACCCATTATTGAAAATATTTTTGAAATCCAATGTCTGTTAACAGCAATTAAATTATGTACAGATAAGAAACACTTCATAATATTGAATTCCCAAATTGGGTTTCTATAATCTATTTTGAATTACATTTTAAGTTATGTTCCAATTAAAGTATTGGGGTTTCTATTACACACTGATTCAGACCATTTGCATATTATTCCAGAATCGCATATACATACATAATTTCTAGCAACATTGCAACGCCATAGAAATGGGTTTGCCAGAGAAATACTAATTTGTCAAACCTAGTAAAGGAAGAATGATGAAGAGAGAATACCTTTTTAGTTTGGCATTTGAAGGGTTTGAGATTGAATTGATGGATAAATTGAGCCGAGGAACTAACCAGAAAGGCATCAACCAACAATCTATGAAAATGATTTGCTTCTGATTAAATCTCATTTACTAGCCACTACATAGCATTCAACTCCACCTGCAATTTAGAATCCAAAATTTTAATAAGAACAAAAATATTTTTAAAAAATTATAAAAATAGAAATGTAATATATACACATTTATTATACATTCCCTAGAATACTAACTCCTATAACAAAATTGAAAAAGAAAACAGAGTTAATGGCTAGTAGAAAGCTCTCAATTCCCAGACCATAATGAGTATAGAAAGCAAAATTTTACAAAAAATTAAATTCAAAGATGGTAAATAAGATAAACAGCCTTGAATGTGATCAAAGCAAAAATTAGAAAAATGAAAAAACCAAAATGGCACTGAGAAGAATTGGAGATTGGTCAGCATCATAAATACCCTGTAAAACCATAAAAAATATGCTTTAGTACAAGTATCCATCAATTGAAAAAGAAATATATATATATATATATAATGCTTCTAAGCCATTCAATTACAATGCCTATGGAAGAAGGCAATATATAAATTAGATGGGCATTTGTCAATCGATATGATAATCCTACAATATGTGAAAAGAAGATAGTGAGAATGCTCAATTTTATTTACAAATTCAAAGTATAGCATTAGAAAAATATAGCATACTCATTGGCCATCATTGTGAAAAATATAGCGTTAGAAAACCAAAATGCAGAACTCCTCAATGCACTAATTTTCACAAGAGTAATAACATGAAAGTGATACAGCATGTCATGTAAGAATGCAAAATATATCCAGTATTACCCAGATTGCACCAAAATTCAAGTCTCAAGAAGGCAAACCAATCGTTTATTGTACATAGAAATAAGTACATAAGTACCAGATCAATACTAGCAAGGTTGCTGCCATTGTAGGGAGCAAACCTCCAAGCTAGTGTCACCGCCAGCTTTGCTGATGATGTGAGATCTTCAGATCTGCCTCCAAAACACAGTCAAAAGAATAAAGCCTCCTGCAAAACTCCATCAAATTTTGGGACCCAAAAAAAAAAACAAATTTGTGCTTACCAATTTGTCCATAAATCAACACCAATTGAATTAAAATCACTTCAAAACAAACAAACCTCAATACATTCCTTACGAGAATGTGAATCAATCCAAACACACATGAATAGCTTCAGATCAAATCTAAATTACAAACATACCAAGAATGTCAAAAGCAACTGAACTATAAACCACTTCAAAACAACTCCTTACTGGATTCATCTATACTTATTATGATAATTAAACGTCATTAAAACCCCAACTAGAAGTGCAATGTAGTGCCTTGATTGAATTTATGCAATAAAAACAAAAACCCAATAAATTCCAAAGAGATTCAACAGAATTCCTCAGAATTAGCTTAGCAAAACAGTAGACCAACATGTATTGATATCAAAACTCCATTTCTACTCAAATTCAATAGAACTTACAAGGCTACAAATGAGAAATCGAACTAGCAAAGGCAAAAGCAGTAGTGATCGACATCTGAATCAATGAGAAAGCATAACATTTTAGATACTCAAGGAGAATAGGATCTGAAGAGAAAACAAAAGAAATGTATGAATTTGTTTAATTAACTCTTGAGACAATCGAAGACAAAGAAGGAAGTTGATAGACCGCGTGAAAACAATCTGTAATATATGTAGAGAAAGAGTAAAGAGAGAGAGAGAGAGAGATTGGGGAGATCGAAGACCTACTTCCTAATAAATGTAGAGAAAAAGCAGAGAGAGAGAGAGAGAGAGAGAGAGAATGTGTGTGACTAGACAATCACTCAATGTAAAGCAATTTAAGATGGGGGGAATACTTAGTAGAATGTACAAAAAGGCATTTGCATTACACTGAAATGAAAAAAAAAAGATTCATTTCCTAAAATCCCAGGCAATAGTGAAAATGAGCCGCAATGGCAGAAAGCTCAGGATTAGGTTGGTTTGTTAGCAGATCTTGTTCTATCTGTACTTACTATGCCGATGTAAACAAAGCATCCCTTCGCTTTCCTTCCCTTCCCACCACAATCAGTTTGACAAAGGTGAGAAATCATCTTCATTGTTAAATTTATTTATTTTGATTATTTATTTAATTATATTTTAATTTATTTAAAAGAAAAAAATAAAATCTAAAATTTATTTTGATGATTATATTTTAATTTATTTAAAAAAGAAAAATAGAATCAAAATTTATTTTGTCCCATTATTTCTCACTTAAACCTTTATCCTAAATGTTGTTAGAATGTATTTAATATTTGATTAAATCAAGAGTTCAAACAGCCAAAAACAGAGGTTCAAACTGCACAACAGCAGTTCAAAAGGTTTAAGTGGAAGATATTCAAATTTGTAATGATGGAGTGGAAGATATTCAAATTGGTAATGATGGAAGTACAACGGCTAAAAACAGTTATAAATTCAAATGACTACAACGGCTATAAATGGCTATAAATTCAAATGAATACAACGGCTATAAACGGCTATAATTTTCATTATATATACCAAAGCTTCTAATGTAAACAAGTTACAAAAAACCTGAAAATATTCTTTGATTTATAATCACTCACATCTATTCTAAAAAATTATGCACTGAGCCTTATAGCTTTAAGCCCGTCTTTCTTGTGTGAGGTTTACAGAAAAACCAAAGCCTTATTTTATATATCTATCTTTGAGAGATATTTATCGTAAGCTTTCTTTGAAATCAAAAATACCATTTCATCTTATAAAAGTGTTGCAAACACTGTGTTCTTGAAATCTTGAGAGTGATTGTGAATCATCTAACATTTGCAAGGGCTTGGGCTTGTGAAATCTGTGTAAAGTCTGTGAAAGATTGCTCCATTTGTAAAGAGGTTGCTAGCACTCCTATGAAGCTAGAAGATAGTGAAAAATCTCAAGTGAAACTTGTGGAGTGGACGTAAGCCGAGTTAAAGCCGAACCACTATAAATTTGTTTGCCTCTCTCTCCCTTATCTCTTTATTTTATTTTAAATTGCCATAGCTATATTTTACATTTTTACTATGCTAAAATCATTAACTGACATAGTTGTTAAGACACTTATTTTAATTATTTTTATTTCATTAATTATATTTATCTGTTGTGCTAATCATAATTTTTATTAGGGTATTATTAATTTTAATTGTAAATGACATGGATAGGCCCACAAGGCTTACGGCCCACAGCAAACAACCCCAAACCCATCGCTTGGGACCCATAGCATAACCTTGGCAAAGCCCAGGACAGTTGGAGGCCACCTGGACATGGAGGGCCAATGGCATTCGGACACATGACAGGTGAAACACAGGCCACATCAGCAGACAAAGATCTGCAGAGTTATTGCCACAACACATCACCATTAATGCAACCCATCACAGCATTTATTACGACAACACCCCCCGTCGGAACAGAGCCCCCTCACCCTGAACAAGGTAAGCTACGGCACAGGCTTTCGGCGGAAGGGGACACGTCACAAGAGACAGTGAAATGATTACCAAAGGATATAAGCAAATGTGGAAGACAAGAAGAAGGTTAAGCTTTCCTATCTCTCTTTCTCTGTGTGTATATTTCCTTCTCCCACTACTGATTCGCTCGCCGGAGGGTTCACTAGGGGACTACCCCGTTCCCCTTTGGACTTGCTTGCAGGTCATCTGGTGGAATCATCCGCCTAAATCGGAACTTGAAAAGCTTGGACCAGCCCGACCCATCCACCAAGGACGGACTGCATTATCAGTTGGCGCCGTCTGTGGGAAACTTGTGGTTTATTCGTGTGCTAGTTGTGTTCACTATCGCTGGAGCCCTCCTTTCTCACCGTTACCTTTTCCTCTCTCCCGTCCAGGTGTATGGTCACGACTAGGTCCATGGCCTCCCACCATAATACCACCGATCATCAAACAGACCCTTCCCATCCAAACAACCCACCACAATACATCATCGAACTTACTAACAGCATTAACCGCATGGCCGAGCAAAACCAGCATGGCCTTAGGTGAAATCTCAATGACATCACTTTTTACTCTTAAATAATATTTTGTAACTTTTATATTACAATTTTATAATGTATTATTTATTTTTGTCTTCTATTCTTATAATTAAGATTCAGGTTTTTCATAACTTTTAGGTGCCGTTTGGTAACATTTCCGTTTTCAGTTTTCTATTTATATTTACAAAAATTTTAAAAACTCAAATAAAAACTTGTTTGGTAAAATTTTTGATTTATAAATTAGTGGTCTCAGTTTATA